AAAATCAAAAAAATTTTATTTTTGTTCAGATTTCCCTCAAACGGCTTGTCAAACCTTCAAACACGCCCAAATGGATATTTCCGTCCACATACAACTTTGGCGTTGCGTTGGCGCTGGCGTCGCTTTGACAGATGCGCAAGTAACGCCCGTGTTTGCTACAATGAACGCTTAGCAGAGAGTACTTTGGACACTAACTTAACATACTAGCGGCAGATACATCAAAATTTTATATCAATAATTGCGTTAAAAACTATATCAAATCAAATGCGGGCAATAATTTGATTAAAAATGAAAATTAAAACACATAATTTTGATTATTTGGAACAGCTGATGAACGACGCGCGCGAAAAGTTGAGAGTTGGCCATCTTTCTGCGTTGTGTTGGCGTTGGCGTTGCCCAACTTTGGTTATGTGGAGACTTTTATTTAATGCATTTATTCATAGTCAGCTGTCGAACCGACGCCAACGCCAACGCAACGCCAAAGTTGTATGTAAACGCGTCTTTAAGCAAATCTGCATTTGCTGCTAAATATTGAAAATGTTATCGATAATTTTTTTCATTCCATCGTTATATTTTTACCTTAAAAGGTTTTCCACGCCAACCGAATCACGTGGTTCAAGCTGAAATTAGTCAAGAACGTAAACGTACCGGTACGTAAACCCGAGTCAGCTGACACGATCTGTCTTACCAAAGCGCCATGTAAATGAAAACTCAACACCGCAGAATTTTTCTGTAGTTGTAGCCCGTAGCGCAGAAATCTGCGGAATTTAGATTTTTCCGTGTCAGCTGATTTCTCCTTCTTTAGATGGTTGCCAGTTCGTCAGTTTTACAGATGGTAAAAAAGATACAAGTTCCTACTCAAAATATGTTTAAAATATTTGAAATTTACTATTGAATAAGGTTTTTGTTGAAAACTAAGTAGTTTATATTTAGCTAAAATCTATTATAGCACGAAAAATTGTAGTTGAAAGGGTAAGTTTATGAAAAGGCATTGATGAGTGGCAACAGTGTACTAAGCAACACTGAGGGCTCCAGTAATCGACAAAATTCTGCGTATACAGACTGCGTTTAAGTATACGTTCTGCGTTCTCGACTAATTTCAGCTTCACTCTCTCAATTATGAACGGCGAATCAATCTGTTTACGCGCCACATTCTTGATTCACTTTGTGTCTCCACGATCCAGTTATCCAGTTATAACGCGTTGTCTCCTCTTATAGATTTACGTTCTTTGATTTCATCAGGTTTATCAACGCCTGTGATAATGACACCTATTAAGAGCCATTGTAGTAAAAAAATGGTACAGTTTGAGGGAAGTTGGCAAGCCTGTTCATGAATAAAGGGCTAACTATAATATGAATAAGCAAGCGTATGCAAACGTGCGAATACACATAAATCCTATTCTAAAATTATAATGCGCTTAACATCAAGTTTCGTCAAGTTTCGCCAAACGTCATTTGCTTACGGAATCAGCTGTTTGTCCTAATACGTATGTATGTACATATGTACCACATGCAGTGTTGCCGCATTGCTATTTTTTACCGAAGTTGGTAATTTTTTTCATTATGTATCATATTTGGTAATGTAGTAACTTATTTTGCAACTTGGTAACTTTTTCGATTTAGTCCTACATGTAACACGGGTCAAAAGAAGTTCTGGTTCCACATTAGGAGGTGGGCCGTAAGCGTTTCCTTTTACAGAAACACCAGGTTATCCTAAAAGTTTCGCAAGGCGAACAGTTCTTCGGCGTTTCTAGGTTACTATAATTGTGTGGTCTACAACAAACTGCTTGATAGTGGCTATTGTTATATCTAATTAAATGTGGCAACAGTGAACTCATGTAAGTAAAATATAGCCACCCAAAAGTCTATACTGCGTAGCTTATGCATTTGACAAACTTTTCGTTCACTTGCTGACAGTCAGTTACGGCTGCTTATTCATATTAGGTGCGTTCGTTTAAAATCTCCAGTAAAAACCAACCAACTGCCAAATTCCGGCGAAATGTCATCTGTTCTCTCACAAGAGAAAAATATCCCAAATAGTAGATCAGCTGTTTTCCTGTTGGCAAATTGCTGTTGGCAAAATTTTTTCCAGCAGAAACCAGCAGCTCCCACGACAGCCGGTTCTACGTACCGGAATGACTCGGGTTTCACCCGACCAAGGGCTGTTGTTTCGGCGATCTAACCCCGTCTAGATCGGCGATACCCATTAATCATTATCCGTCCATGGAGCAATACCTTGCAGCCGGATTGCTCCGCATCCTTCTTCTCCGGGCGGGCGTAGAGCCCAACCCCGGACCTGAAATTTACTTCTGCTGTGTTTGCCAGAATCGACTCCACCCGAACTCCACTTCGGTTAGGTGCAACTCCTGCAACGGGTGGAGTCACCTAAGAACCTGCTCTGGCCTTAGGTCTCACCGGGAGTGGACCACAAACTTTGTGGCTCCCTGTTGCTCAAGCCAAATGGCACAATCAGCCTCCACGGCTACCCACTCGCGTAATGCACGGGTGCGACCTAGCACCCGAAGAGCCTGCACGGCCCCTAGAAGCTCCCCTGAGCAACAGCAAACCTCCCAACACACCCCTCCCACACAACCTACCGGCCGGTCCCACTCGCGAGCGCGAGCCAACCAGCAGCTACTGGTTGCCCACACCATCTGCTCCGTGTGCCAGAACAGAATATACCGGAATGTGACATCAGTCAAATGCAACACATGCCTTGGCTGGTGCCACTTCCGGCTATGTTCTGGTCTACGCACCACTCGCGAATGGACTACAAACTACAGCGCTCCTTGCTGTAGTGCACCGCCGACGCAGACAACAACGCCCATATCGCAGCCACCTACCATCAGGCTGCAACAGCAACTGCGTCAGGCGCAACAGGCCCAAGGTAGGCCCCACACTTCTCTGACCCCCCGTATCGCGACCAGCCTCCCAAGGCACATGAACGTACTCCAACTCAACTGCAACGGACTCCAGAGCAAGATTGAGGAGATAGCAGTCTTCATGGGTCGGCACGGCATATTGAT